GAATCAGGCACATGGAATGGGGAATGCAGGTGTAGACCTCACTGTGCATTTATCACCTCTCCAACCAGCATGTTTTCCTTTTGGCTTTGGCTGCCAGGAAGCTCAGGGCTCAATATAGAGACAAGCCTGATTATTAGCCTAGATGGTTAGAATCTTTGCTTCTTCATCCTTCTACAAGGTTTGGATGTACTATTTCTATTATTTATATTTTGATTGAAGTAAAGTTGATTTACAATTTTGTGTTAGTTTCAGGTGTACAGCAAAGTGATTCAGATATATATATATATGTATATACACACACACACACACACATATATTCTCTCATTCTTTTCCCTTATAGGTTATTATAAGATATTGAATATAGTTCCCTGTGCTGTACGGTAGATCCTTGTTTTTTATCTACTTTTATATATAGTACTGTTGTATTATGTCCATTTATTGTATATGTATCTTCTATCTAATCATTTCATAGTTGAATAAAAGCTGAGCATAAATTATTTTAAAATATATTACATAAATTTGAAATAGGATCAGTATTTTTCCTTGTCTGCCAGTTTATTTCTTTTTTTTAAATAAATTTATTTTTGGCCGCGTTGGGTCTTTGTTGCTGCACGTGGGCTTTCTCTAGTTGCAGTGAGCGGAGACTACTCTTCGTTGCAGTGCGCGGGCTTCTCATTGTGGTGGCTTCTCTTGCTGCGGAGCATGGACTCTAGGCACGTGGGCTCTAGAGCGCAGGCTCAGTAGTTGTGGTGCACGGGCTTAGTTGCTTTGTGGCATGTGGGACCTCCCCGGACCAGGGCTCGAACCCGTGTCCCCTGCATTGGCAGGCGGATTCTTAACCACTGCGCCACCAGGGAAGCCCTGCCAGTTTATTTCCTCCAGGGGATTGTGAGCACCCTGCTCATCCTCTGCTAATCTCATTAGTACTGAGCCCAAGTGGTCAGTCCATGGACCTTAGAAGTCATCTAGTCTGGGGGTTAGACAATGAACACCAAGAACTCTAGGTCCTCAGTCTCCACCTTTTATCTGTTTTACAGTGCAGGCTCCAAAGAAAGGATTCCTTTTCTAAACAAAGTTTGAGGAGGTTGGATTAGACTAACAGTATTCATTTTACAGAGAAGGTCATTGAGGCCCAGAGAGGGCATGGTATTTGCCTGAGGTCCCACAGGAGTTAGAGGCAGAGCCTGAGCTAGAACCATGCTCCAAGTTCAGTGTTTGGTCCTCGCTGCCTAGGAGAAGCATGTGCAGGATTGTCATCCAGGGCCCTGGGAGCCTAGTTCCACCAGCAGGGAAGGGAAAGGAGTCAGTGTGGGGCTGGGGAGGAGCCTACTCACATGGCTGTGGGCAGGTCACTGCGGGCATCCAGCAGGAGGTCAGGGACACAGTGCTCATCCTCATTGCAGCCATTCCAGAAGGGTACCTGGGCCAGGGAGAGGCAGGTATGGGTGGCTGGATAGGGCACCCAGAGCTTCCAGCCCCCATCTTTGCTGTGGGCCATCCCCTATCTCCACAGCACGCCAGCTCCTCTTTCTGCGGCACTAGACACAGGCTTTGTTTTTTCTGCCTTTTTCACAGCACCATGCTGCTTTTTCTCATGCTTTGGCATAGAAAGTCCCTTCTTTAGAACATGGCTCAAAACTCAACTCCTCCCAGGTCCCTTTCAGTCCCTAGCTGAGCTGTTAGCACAGAACACCCACTTACCCAGTGCCAGTCAACACTGATTGATCATTTATTGCAGGGAGCAAGCTCTCTGGTACTGAGTATATAGGATGAGGAAGACACAGCTTCTGTTCTCAGCTCATGGGGAAGATGAGTGCGTGAACAAATAATTATAGTGTGAAATGTGCAAAAAAAAAAAAAAATCTGTATGAGGAATAGAAGAGGCAGAAGGGAGGAAACAGTTATTTTGGCCCATAGATGAGAAGGCTTCAGAGAAATGACAGTAGGTCAGAGTTCCAAAGGATGACTGAGTTAGCTGGATGGACCAGAGGGAGAGGGAAGTCTGGGAGGAAGGACGAGTCTGTGCAAAGGGCCTGAGGCATGAAGCAGCATGGCAAGCTTGGGGAATGACAGCTCTTTAGTGTTGCTGTAGTAAGGGGTACAGGAGATGCAGAGATGGGCGGGGTCATTTCTTAACAGGGTCCTGGGGTCATGTCCTCCCAGACCCACATATCCAAGGCTCCCTCTGGCTGCTGTGGGTGGATGGACTGGAAGGGTCAAGAGTAGAGGCAGAGAGACCGCTAAGGAGGCTGCTGCAATGTTCACTCAAGAGATGATGACGGTGTCAGAGTTCATCAGGACTAAAAGGGAGGAAAGGGTCCTGGATGTTGGCCAAGTTTCCTTTTGAGTGTCTGGAAGCGTGGCCGCACCATTCATTTATAAATGGAGGGGTTCAGTGGAGGGGATCAGTTTGGGGCACACTGAGTTTGAAGTGCCTGTGGCCCATCCAGGGAGAAGGGCTCAGCAGGTAGATGGGTGTTCAAGTCTGGAGCTGAGGAGTGAAACTGTCCCCACCAGGATCACAGCCTGAACCAGGGGAGGGGAGACAGGAGAGGCCAGGCGTACCTTATATTCACTGACTTCTCAGAGGGGAGCTCCCTGGCCCTCACTCAGATCCACGTGCTCTTATTTCAGACACGTTTCTATCAAGCCTGCCCCTTGGCTTCCCCATCACGTGGTGGATTTGCAGCTCGAAGCAGCCGGCAAGGAAGACAGCAGAGCCATATAAAGGAGGGCAAAGTGAGGCATTCAATGCCAGGACATAGCTCTAGACACTTTGGAAGCCCTTGGGGGCTTCACTGTATTCTAGCACCCGTGTTCATCTTGGTGATTTCAAGTCTCCGATGAAAAACACCCCAGCCCGCCCAGCATACTGTTCAAGTGTGAAAACTATATAATAACCTTCAGAAAAATTTCTATCCACTTGATTGAAAGGGATAATTTAACATGATAAATAGCTGTTACACTCAACTGTACGGAATGGCCCATTCCCCCAAGAGGCAAGATCTTATGGTACTGGAACAGTGCTGGGCATTGAGGAGAAGCTAAATAAGAATTTGTAGCAGAGAGATGGGAAGAATGTTTCTAATTTGCTGGGGGCTAGAAATCTATTTTAACAAGATTTTTAGACATTTAGCTGCTATCCAAAGCCCTTGGTAATATGCCCAGACTGACTTTTTCAGCTCTATTTCTCTTCTTTTCTTTACACTTCCCTTCACTCTGCTTGTTCCCACGTCCACACCTTGGCTATGCTGTCAGCTTTCCTGGAATAAGCCCATCGTCCCCATCTCACGTCTATTCTAAAGGTCCAGGGGAAAGCTACCTCCTCCAGAAAGTCCCCCCTGACCTATCATCTGACTGCTTGATGACACTTCCTCTGAGCTTACTCCCATCTTTGACTTGACCTATGACTCTTATCACCACCTTGCATCTGTATTACCAGCATTAGAGCAGAGAGTGCCCTGCACGTTCATCTGCATAATGGGCTTCAACATGCTTATAGAATGAGTGACATGTACTCATTCATTTGCTATAGTGGCCTTGTGATGACTGTGATGGGAAAAATATTAAGATTCAGGGTACCCAGCTTTCCCCCTCTCCTGGCTCACTAACAAGGATTCCAGCTTTGCCGGGTCAGTATCTCCCCCTCTCCTGAACTGCATTTTCAGACAGCCTCTCTTACACATCTGTGATGCAGAATCAGGAGAAGAGGCAAGGTGTGAAGGTTGAGGGGTGGGTGGTAGGATGTGGGAGCTCTGGGAAGAGGGAGGAGCTGAGGGGGCTGATGGGGGAGAATGAGAGCAGAGAGGGGATTTTCGTAAGCCTTGCTGTCGACTGTACCGTTCTTTTGTGTAGGAGAAATACAGGCAAGCATGTGAGTAACTCTGAAATTGTTGTTTGCTGGCTGGATTCTATATATTGGGTTGGCCAAACAGTTTGTTTTGTTTTAAGTAAAAATAAAAGACACATTTTTCACTTTCACGAAGAACTTTATTGAACAATGTATTCGTTAACCGAATGAACTTTTTGGCCAATCCAATAATTCTCAGAGACACTGCTCAGAGGCTGGACCTCGCAGGTCACAGTCTTAAGAGCATTGTGGTATATTTGAAAGTTGTTCCTAAATCCCCGGGGTTTATTTTGCCTGCTCTCCTAGCACAGCTCAGGCAGAATGGATAACTGTCTGACGTTTTCTTTGTGTGGGATTTATATGGAGTTGCAGATGCAGGGAGCATCTGAATATTAGATTACCAGAAAATTCTGATGCCCTTAGAGCCAGGGATTAGAAAAGGTGGGTGTGGGGGGGGTGCAGAGGCAATGATGAGTCTAAAACTACTTATTTTTGGAATTCTTGGAGCGGGCTAGGAGGACTGTTTGTTAATTAGTCGATCATTCAACAAGCGCAGACTAGGCTCTAGTGGTTGAATCATTCTCTCTGGCCTCCAGTGTCCTCATCTGTCAATGAGGGAAGTGGGTGATTGAGAACTAAGGTCCCTTCGGGTCCTGTGAATCTCAGGACACACTCCGGGCTCACTCTCTGCTGGGGATACGGGAGCCTTGCACAGGAGAAGGCCAGGTCCTTACGATACGGGAGCCTTGCACAGGAGAAGGCCAGGTCCTTACCTTCAAGAAATTGCTCAGCACAAGTCAGGAGGAAGAAGGAGAGTAGCCTGTTGGGAATTTGCGGGGCAGGAGGTGGGAAGGCGAGGCAGGGGAAGAACTCCTTTGTGCCTGTCACAAAGCCTGGGCTTCTGGGAGGAGGCGAGGGGCGGGGGTGGGGTGTGTGTCAAAGCTGCTGCCCTGGACGCCAGGACGTACCGAGACTCTGAGGGTCGAGGGCCAGCCGTCATCCAGCATGGGGCCGTAGTCGGGGTCCTCCAGGGAGTACTCGACCGAGAAGGTCACTGGCTTCACGTAGTCAGCAGTGTCCTGTGTGGGAGATGAGAACGGGGTGGGGACAGAGGGAACATCCGTGTCATAGCCAGGACCACTGAGAGAACTTCCACCTCCCGAAGCTGGGAGGGTAGCTGCCTCATCAGCCCAGAGTATGAGTCCATGGAGCTTTAGCATCCGTGAGTGTACGGAGGTTCCCAGATGGGTCCGTAGCAGGAGAGTGTTGCTCCTGGGAAGGGCCCTTGGCTCAGCATATACCAACCCCTCTGCCTGCATGTTTCACCACCTCCTGCTCGTCCTTCAAGGCTGGGAACCTGTGTCCCCAACACCCCGGCCTCTAGGAAGCCAGGCAGCACCTCATCCCCACACTCTGTTCAGAGCTGTTACTGACACACTTACGTGGCATCCAAGCTATCTGATTGTGTGTCAATCCTCCTCTCTCCAAAGCCTCTTAGCACAGTCCTAGCACTGTGACAAGGCTTAATAAATCAATAAATGAACAAAGTTGAACAAAATAGCGGCAATCCAGGGGATGCTTAGAGCTGCCTAAAAAATCCCCAATCCCCCCCGCCCCCGCCATGGAACCCAAATCTTGACACCAGTGGCTTCCTTGTGTTAAGGCAATGACTTTCAAACTTGAGCTTGCATCAGAATCCCACCCTGGGAGGGGGCGGGGGTTAAAACACTGAGTCCCATCCCGAGAGTTTCTGATTCACTAGGTCTGGAATGGAGCTTGAGAACGTGCAATTCTAAAAAGTTCCCGGGTAATGAAGATGCTGCTGGTCTGGGGACCACACTTTGAGAACCAGCCCATAAACACATCAGAGGGGCAACACTATTAACAGACACCAGGACTTCTTGTTTTTCTGACCTTTGCCCAGTGACTGTTGGGGTCAGGTGGGCTCTGAGTGTCCCCTGCCTGTGTCTCCGAGGCCGGAGCTGTGGCTGTGTGTCTGCAGTTTCTGGGTGGATGCACCAGGCCCCCACTGGTTCTCCCGCTCTGCCAGTCTGGCATCTCTCTCTTCCTCCCCGCAAGCCTGTCCATGCCACTGGTCCACCTTACCTGGTCTTCACTATTAGCTGATGCCTGCTTATCCCTTCCTTCTGAGCCATGGCCCCAGCTGGCTGACCGCCGTCCTCTCTGCTAGACATCACTGAGCCCACCTCCCTCCTTGAATCTCACCCCCTGCTTAAGAAATGGTGGGCATCTGAGAGCTAGCAAAGAAGAGATTTCAGAGGACGGTACAGTGAGGTGGGAAGCAGTGTGTCCCAGTGGCCTTTGCTCTGGGGCATGAGTATGGGATGGCCAAGGTCCAGGACACTGCCCCCTTCCCGGCCTCCTGAGGTCTGCTGGGGGCTCAGAACCAGCCTGGCACCAGCTGAGCTCTCTGCCCCTCCCACGGCAGCACCTCGTCCAGCTCCGTCCCCTTCCTGGAGAAGCCTGGGCTCTGTGGGTGGGGCTGCTGGGCATCTGGCTCACCAGGACATGGAAATTGATCCGCTCACAGTGTTCCTGGCTGGAGGAGAGCAGGGCAGCTCTGTTGGTGTACCGGTCCCCACCCTCATCCAGGTGGGCCCGCGGCGTGTACCGCCTCTCATCCATGGTGGCGTTATACCTGATGCCTAGAGGAAGGAGAGTGCAAGCCATGGAGGTGGAGCCACCATTTCCATTGAAGACTGTTTGCCTCTCTTTAACAATAGCCTTTGGAAAGTGATCCTCCTCCAGGAAGCCCTCCAGGCTGGCCAGGGGAAGTGCTGCTCCTCTCCCCTCGCAAGGCTCAGTGTAGGCAGGAAACTCCCAGACAGAGAGCGAGCAATACAGTGAGAAAGGGTAAAGGAAGGAACTAAAGAGAAGAGGGAGGCAGAAGGAGGAGAAAAGAAGATGGAGTTGACAGGGATAAAGAAAGAGGAAGAGATGGAGGGGAGAGTGAATGCAGTGGAAGAGGAGGGGAGACAGGACGAGGGGTCAGGGTGGTGCTTCCATTTGAGCCACTCCTGGCGTCAACACACCTCTCCACCTCTCCCATCACCTTCCCGGGCCTCGCCCTCGGCTCTAGGATCCCGTCAGGTCTGGGTCCGAGCCTCTGCAGTTCTGGGTGGCAGTTCCCATCACACTAGGGAGGGCTGGCCGGGTCCTGCCCACCAGCTCCTCAAACCTAAGGCTGTTCTGGGGTTTAAGGCCTGCAGCCTCCTCCCCTTCAACTAGGCTGATCTTTTGCTAAATGCTGGAAAGGCTCAGCCCCTTCTCCGGTACCCCAGCAGCACTCTGGGTGCACAGGTTCTTGGCATCATTCTCCTATCATAGAAAGAAGCTGAAAGAAGGACACAACCACCCAGGCCTGCCTTTGTTCTCATCTTCCTTCTGGGACACCTGTTTTTTAATCATCTGGTCGGTCCTGCTCCTTGGCTGAGAAGCTCTCTGTGGTCCCAATTTCCTGCACAGGTCTAACCTGGTGCTGGAACCTGTAGCTGCCACTTGCTGGGGCTGCCTGGGCCCAGGGCTGTCATAAGCAGGTGTCTGATCCCAGCCTTGGCTGGGAGTGATGGACCCTCAGAAGGAAACTGCCCTGCTGTGGGCTCACACCTACTCTGAGCAATGACCACTGCTACTCGGGTCTTCATCTGCCTGACCCCCTGGTTACTAGCTCCCCCTCCTGCGTCTGACTCTTTCTCTGAATCTGACTTCACAGCTTCCACACCCCAGACTGTTCCACTGCTTCCAGTTCCCTGTTCTGATCCAAACACTGTCTCTGACTATTTCCTGCTTCCCCAGCCCCTCCCACGTTGGTCACCACTGCTCACTGCCATCCTCACCGTGGCATGAGATCCCCTCTCTGCCCCCTGGAATCAGAGCATTGAATGGGCATCTAGAAGTCATCAAATGTGGCTCTAAGGTGTGACCTGGCACTTAAAACCCATTTCAGCAAAAGCCCAAGTTTAGAAACAGAGTGAATGCAAAGCCCATGGGGGAGAGATTGGAGCTGGGGAAGTGGGGAGGGGCTTGATTTACCGACTGTTGAAGTTTGGTAATGAGGTGCCAGGAAGACGGGTGTGAAGCAGAGGAAGGCGGCCAGGCAGGTGGCGTCTCTGCCACTGCGTTTGCAATCCCTGTGAAAGATGTTGATCTTGGATGGCTCAAAGTGGAGGCTGGCTTTGATCTGAACCACAGGGCGGGACCTGCAGGAGGAGGGAGAGAAGCAGGAGTTGGGCGGGGTACAAGGCTGCTCTGCTGGGACCCAGGGAAAGGTGGAGAGCCAGATGGAACGGGATCTGTAAAACCCCCACTGGGAGTGTGGCAGTGGTGGGACATGGAGGGAGGGGGTCCAGGTGTCACCGGATTGGGCAAAAAAAGTGTACAGGTGGATGAAGGGCAGGCTAAGCAACCTCACAGCTCCTTGAGGCAGCCCTTCATCATTTTCTTAGGGTGTGTGCTTGCTGCAGACCATACTGACATCCTTTTGTCTCCTCATCACTTCAATCCTGCATGCACATCAGAGTACTCTGGAGAGCTTTAAAAAATCCTGATGCCCGAACTAGAACAAAACATTTTAAAATTTGTATGGAAAAACAAAAGACCCCCAAAAGCCAAAGCAATCCTGAGAAAGAAAAACAGAGCTGGAGGAATCAGGCTCCCTGACTTCAGACTATACTACAAAGCTACAGTAATCAAAACAGTATGGGACTGGCACAAAAACAGAAATATAGATCAGTGGAACAGGATAGAAAGCCCAGAAATAAACTCACACACCTATAGTCAATTAATCTATGACAAAGGAGGCAAGAATATACAATGGAGAAAAGACAGTCTCTTCAATAAGTGGTGCTGGGAGAACTGGACAGCTACATGCCAAAGAATGAAACCAGAACATTCTCTAACACCACACACAAAAATAAATTCGAAATGGATTAAAAACCTAAATGTGAGACCAGACGCTATAAAACCCTTAGAGGAAAACATAGAGCACTCTTTGACATAAATTGCAGCAATATCTTTCTGGATCCACCTCCTAGAGTAATGAAAATAAAAACAAAAATAAACAAATGGGACCTAATTAAACTTAAAAGCTTTTGCACAGCAAAGGAAACCATAAACAAAACAAAAAGACAACCCACAGAATGGGAGAAAATATTCACAAAAGAAGCAACCGACAAGGGATTAATCTCCAAAATATACAAACATCTCATGCAGCTCAATATCAAAAAAGCAAACAACCCAATCAAAAAATGGGCAGAAGACCTAAATAGACATTTCTCCAAATAAGACATATGGATGGCCAAAAAGATGTTCAACATTGCTAATTATTAGAGAAGTGCAAATCAAAACTACAATGAGGTAACACCTCACAACAGTCAGAATGGCCATGATCAAAAAGTCTGCAAACAATAAATGATGGAAAGGGGAACCCTCCTACACTACTGGTGGGAATGTAAATTGGTACAGTCACTATGGAGAACAGTATGGAGGTTCCTTAAAAAACTAAAAATAGAACTATCATATGATCCAGCAATCCCACTCTTGGGCATATATCCAGAGAAAACAATGATTTGAAAAGATACATGCACCCCAATATTCACTGCAGCACAATTTACAATAGCCAAGCTATGGAAGCAACCTAAATCTCCATCAACAGATGAATGGATAAAGAAGATGTGGTACATATATACAATGGAATATTACTCATCCATAAAAAAGAATGAAATAATGCCATTTGCAGCAACATGGATGGACCTGGAGATGATCATACTAAGTGAAGTCAGTCAGAGAAAGACAAATATCATATGATATCACTTGTATGTGGAATCTTAAAAAGTGATACAAAGGAATTTATTTACAAAACAGAAACAGACTCACAGACCTTGAAAAAAAATTTATGGTTACCAAAGGGGAAAGGTGGTGGGAGGGATAAATTAGAGGAGTTTGGGATTAACATATACACACTACTACATATAAAATAGATAATCAACAAGGACCTACTGTGTAGCACAGGGAACTCTACTCAATATTCTGTAATAACCTACATGGGAAAAGAAGCTGAAAAAGAATAGATATATGTATATATATAATGGAATCACTTTGCTGTACACCTGTACAACATTGTAAATCAACTATACTCCAATATAAAATAAAAATTAAATTAAAAACATCCTGATGCCCAAGTTGCTCTCCAGGTCAGATCCAACAAGAATAGGCATCACCATGTCTTAAAGCAGTGCTTCTCAGATCTTAATACATTTGCGCATTTCCTGGGGCTCTGGTTAAAATGCAGATCCAGCATTTCTAGCAAGCTCTCAGGTGACACTAGTGCTGTTGGTCTCTGGACCACACTTTGGAGAGGGTGGGTGTTAAAGCACCCCAGGTGATTCCAAGGTGCAGCCAAAGTAGAGAATAACTCATTGTTCTAGAGACCTGCCCCCAGCCATCCATCCCAACACTGCCCCATCCAGGCAGCCAAGGAAATGCAAATTTACACTTCTATTGTCTAGGTCAATCAGAGTTAGGGAAGGGAAATATTGCCTCTCCAAACTATGCATTTATGTAAAAAGAAATAAGTGTAGTGTGTTTTAGATGCTTCAGACTTTTAGCATGATTATCTGTGCTAATACTCTGTTCTTCTTAGTGGAAGAGCGATGGCGCCTCCTCTGTGCTGTGGAGTGAGAAGGACGGGTTTGAGTCTTGGCTGCATTGGGCAGGTCCCATGGTCTCTCTGATGGGGAATTGTGAGAACCAAAGCAGGTAAGTGAGATCGCCTTCTGTTTGGAAACAAACACCTGAGAGTCTTTAAAAATTACTGCTGCCTGGGCCCCTGCCCTAGAAATTCTGCTTTCAGTGGTCTGGGTAAAACCTGGGCAATGAGAGTTTTAAAAGTTCCCAGGTGATCCTAAGGGTAGTCATGTTTGAGATCCATGGAGTTTGACTATGAAGTCTTCCCAGAGGGCTCCAGCCCACAGTTTCGGCACTACTCAGGTAGCATTTAGGTTTAGACCTCACAAGCTAGGGCTTGACTGAGTCCTTTCGGTGAGACTGATTCTTTTGATGTATGTGTACATATACCTTGCTTCCTGTAAAGGACTTAGTTTATGTGTCACCCTACAGACCCCAGAGGCCATGTCTACCCTCTACCCTGGGTCTTGTTCACCTGAACTGCAACACAGTGAATACATTTAGCCCAAGCTGCTGTTGCTACCAAAGACCTAAGAGCCCCACCTGCAGAGCAGACCTTCAAGGAGAGGCCGTGGAGCCGGTGCTGGACCGGCAGAGACCCTGCTTGCCTAGAGGGCCAGGGGACACCACCTGGAGGTGTGGGGCAGCTGATGCTTTGGCCATGGCACAGCGGGACATGAGGAGCCCGCAGATATGCTGCTCCCCATTGCTCCCCTAAGGGACTGTTGCAGGAAGCAGAGGCTGTATTCCTTCCTCCTCTCTGGAGATGCTGGAGCAGGGAGCTGCCCCAGGCGTGAGGCTGCAGCTCGTTCAGTAACTAACGACCTCTCGTATCCCTCTCCTTTCCTGTTTCAGTTTCCCTTGACCCTCACTTCCGTCCCTGGGGCTGAAGCCCCTTCCAGGGCGCAGGCGCAGGCGCAGAAGCTTTAGCCTCAGGCTCTGTTTTCTTGGGAACTTGGACTAAGACATTTCCCGACTGGATCGTAATATTCTTGAGGACCAAGAACATGAAGATTCTCCCTGTGAAGTCATAGGATATCTCTGTTTAATGTCTTTCTTAAGTTGTATGAAAAATGTGATTGCGTTTATATAAAATTATATGCAGGTGGAAATAGGCTGGTAGGGAAATATACCAAGATGTTAATAGTGGTAATGTTAAGGTGATGAAACTCTGAGTGATTTATTTTACAAATTTTCTTTAACTTATTGTATTTATAATGAAAAGTATCAACATATAAAAAACTAGCTCAAATTAAAAATTTTTTTGGTTCAAAGAGTGTCTGACACATCACATGGTAAAATATTTAGATGGACTTTTAGAAAGCGCCCCACCCCCCCTTTTTTTTAAAGCTGTAGACCATTGCTAAGTAGAGACCCTAAGTGCAAATGTATGACAAATATCTGATGGAATGGTGCAGAAATGAGGCCCTGAAAAAGGAAACCAGGGGTCAGATGGGGTTTGGAGGAAAGAAATCCTCTCTCACACTGGGGTAGAAGGGAGATCCTCCCAGCTGATGAGAATATCCTCAGACTGTCCTTTAAAGTAGCTTTAGAAGCTAAGTGGAAGAAATGACCAAGTAGCCAGAACTTTTAGGAAAAATTCTAAGAGGGGCTTTTTGCCACTAAATTGCTCTAAAATCTTAGCAGCCCACTGAGAAGAGGGATGTGGACTTCAAAATAACTTACAGTGATTCCATGAAAAGGAAATTTGTAGTCACAACGGGATAAGAACAGGGTGAATTTGGCTCACAGCGATTAAAGACAAGACACAGAGATCCTAAAGCGTATCTTTTAAACCCTGTATCCATCATGACCCTCAGGAGAGCCCAAGAGTCAAGAAAAACGGGGTACCAACCACAGAATCACGGCGTTGCCAAGGGCGCCCACAGCCAGGTCCACAAGCCCATCCTCGTCGAGGTCCAATTGCCCATGGATGCTGCAGCCAAAATACTGGAGGCTTGGAGCCAGCTCTGAGGCAGCGATTCTCTGCAGGGAGTGGAAGGAAAGAGCTGGGCATGGGCACCCTAAGGGGTAGATACAATTGGGAGCCCTGGAGACAGCCTGTTTGAAATCATCAGGAAGCTTCCCTGGCCCAAAGCTACCTCCTCTCCTGGTCCATTATGGCACCTGAAATTCCTGCCATTAAGTCATTCTTTTGGATTAAAATAGTGTGTCATAAAAGTGTTCCCCACTGAAGAGGGAAGGGGGAGGGGAAAGATAGGGGTAGGGGATAAAGAGGTACAAACTATTATGTATGCAATAAATAAGCTATGAGGATATATTGTACAACACAGGGAATATAGCCAATATTTTATAATAACTATACATGGAATATAACCTTTAAAAATTGTGAACGACTGTGTTGTAACTTATATTCTACATAAACTACACTTCAATTAAAAAAAAAAAGAATTCCCCACTGGGTGTAAATACACATTACCTGGCAGGTAACCCACCATCATCTCTAACTGTGGTATACCTTACTAATAAAATAGGTAGGCAAAAGTGATGACCTGAGGGGACTTGGGATGGGTCACTTTTAGGAAGAGCACTGTTTCCAGCCTGAGGCACTTCCAGAGAAGAGGAGCCCAAGCTGGTGTTCTCCACGTGTAGTCAATTGCATGAATACATATGAGGGCCAGTGAGGTTCGGGTCCTTGGGATTTCGTTGCTGTTGCTGGGGAGATAAAGTTAAGCAGGGAGAGGGTATCCAAAGGGGTGATGGAAAGGGCTTGAAGACAAATGCACCCATTTCAAAATTTTGATTTGAGGCAAGTTCTCTTTTCCTGTGTGAGGACAGGGCGTGAGCTACCAGGACTCCAAGTCCTAGCTCCATCTGTCTACCGGAGAGGGGGGCATTACCTGCTTCGGTGTCTTTAGGATGCTGTCCTGGAAGCCGTGGAAGATATAGATGACTCCTCTGTGGTTGTCCTCCAGAGGGGCTCCCACCACCACGTCGTTGTAGGAATCTTGATTGAGGTCCTGAACCGACGCGATGGAGGAGCCGAATCGGGCATTCTGGTAACTGTGGGAATCCTTCAGTGTTCCATCGTAAACAAACCGGCTCTGCGAAACCAGTGGCAGGAAAAGGCTCAGGGGGGCTTGGCAAGGGCTCTCTGGGTTGTGACGCCCTCTGGCCTGCAGCATCCCCTCTGCGTTTCCCCATTTCTCTCCTGCTATATAAGCCCAATGACAGAAGAGGTTCCCATCCTCCCCCGCTCCACAGGTGTGGACACCTGATCAAGGCAGGGATCAGGTGCCCCCGGAAAGCTGGCCAGCCTCCACGCTCCGTACCTGTCTCAGGTTGTAGATGTACACCCTGCCCCGCTCTCCGCCCTCGCTGAAGTACATGGGTGCGCCCACCAGCAGGACATCAGTCACACCGTCGCCATCGACGTCCACTGAGGTGATCTCGCTCCCGTAGTAAGAGCCTATCTGCGGCACAGGGATGGGGAGAGGGGCGTGGGGCAGGGCTACTGAGAGGCCTCTGCTCGCCAGAGGATGGAAACTGAGGACAGCCTTTGACTCAGAATTTTTGCTGCACAAATGAGAAGGTCCCTCCCTCTTTTCTCCTTCTGTTATCCATCCTGCCCCCACTCGGCTTTCCATTATTTAATTTTATTGATTGCCATTTATTCTGTAAGTGATATATTATAATGGCAAAAAGTGAGCAAAATAAAAGCAACATATGAAGAAGAAAATAAAAGTCACCCATGGTCCAAACAATCAACTATACCATGGATGTTTCAGTATATTTTTCCTCTGGACTGTTTTCTCTAGGGTGTGTGTATGTGTATGGTTTTATTTTTACAATCTGGGATCGGACTGGATGTATAGTTTATATATTCTGATTTTTTAAATAAAACAATGGATCATGAGTATTTTCTCTGTCGTGTTATATTTTTTTCCTACAACATGATCATTGGTGATTCTATAATATTCCAAATTACATGTGCGCCAAATGTATTTAATCAATCCTCTGTTGCTGGACATTTAGCTCATTTTCAATTTTTTATATTCCAAATACTCTGGGCTTAGCACCTTGGGTGATGACTTATGATTCCTTTTCAGTATTTGAGCACTTACTGTGTTCCTCTCCCACCATGGGTGCCGTGGTCCCCCCTTCAGTGAGGGCACCATCTGACCACTCGGTTAGAAACCTACGGGTCCTCCCTGGCTCCACCCTCCACCTCTCCCACCTGCAGTCTCCCCATCCACCTGGTGGATGCCAAACATGTCCCGAATCCATCTACTTCCCGCCTCCTCTGATGTTTCTCCCCCATGTGAGGCACCTTCCAGAGCCCCACCCCCTCCAGGATGGCCCCTCCAGCCCACCACTGCGGGGAGCTAGAGTGGCCTCCAGCAGCTGACCGTGCCGCTTCCTTGCTTTGGAGGAAAATGTCCAAACTCTTCAGTGTGACCTTCCTAGACCAGCCTCTGTCCCCTACCCTCTGGCTCCCACATCCCCTCCCGACATACCAAGTGATTTCTCCTCTCCAAAAGCCCCTTGGCTCCAGCTGGCTTCCCAGCTTCCCCTTGCACATACTTTTCTCTGACCTGTACCCTCTCCCCTCCCCTCTCTCTCGGTAATGTCTATCGTCCTTCAGGTCACTGCCTGTTAGAAGCACCCCTGCCCTTCCCTACTCCACTCCCTGCAATGGTCCCTCCTCCATGCTCCCCCAGCCCCGGCTCCCTCCACCAGCGCCTCTGGACAGTGGGAGCTGTGCCTGTCCTGTTCCCTCCAGGCGTGGGTGCTGTGCCTGGCACACAGGAGGTACTCAGTAAACGTTCATAGGAGCAAGGGGTCGCTCAGGAAAGAAGAGGAGCCCTTCCCAAGGACAGGCCCTGTGTGAGACGCTTTACCGCCTCAGGTTAGCTTGTGTGAGCCTCACCTTGTCTTGGGAGAGATTATCATCCTTATTTTACAGGGAAGGAACTGAAGCTCAGAGAGTTCAAGTCACTTGCCCAAGGTCAGAAGGCTGGTCACAGCCAAACTGGGTTGGAACTCTGATCCATCTGACACTCAAGCCAATGATTCTCCCTCCCTGGCTTAGGGTGTTTTCAGAAGAAATTTATCCTCAAGCATTAAAAGCTTTTAACCGAGGAGAACGATAAAAATACAGAAGAGGGAAAAAGGAAATCATAAACACGGGGTCGGGGGGGAAGAGACGTGCCCACATGAAGTAATCAAGAGGCAGACAGAGAGCAAAGAGGGAGGCGGAGGGAGACCCTGTCTAAACATGAGGCCTCAGCTCTGTGGGTCATGGTGATTTGGAATCCACGTAACTTAGCTGCCTTCAGTGCTGCGGTTTCTCATTCGGATGTTGGAGATGGAACCGGGCAGTATCAATGTCATAAATTCATCAGCAAATTCCCTTCAGCTCTCAAGGTCTAGCCTAGCGTTCTCGACAGAGCCAGCCCTGGGTAGAGTGTGGGCGGGCAGGGTGGAAGCTGGGGCCAGAGCAGTGCCCGGGTCCGCCAGTGCCCTGGGATGGGAAGAGGAATGGTGGAAGGATGGCTCCCTGTAGCTACAGGGATTTAGGTTTGACCCGGTGAAGAGCATGTCCTCATGGTGACAGGCCAAGGGCAGTAGAAAACGCAGGAGACAGGGCTGTTCCCAGGCTCTGGAGGGCCGGGGGTGAGCCAAGAATAACAATAAGGGCCTGGACAGGGCTCAGCTCAGGCCCAGGGTACTATGGATGCTGGATGCTGCCAGGCAGGAGGGGCCATGGCCTGGTTTGGGGATTGTTGGGGGTCAGGAGGTAGCATAATGTAGAGAGCCCCACCAAGAGTCCTGGATTCCAAACTTGACCCAGCCGTGAATCTACCCTATAACCTTGGAAAAGCTATGTTGCTTCTCAGGACCACAGTTTTCCTGGGCTATTGAAATGACTTGGATCAGAACCCTGTTTTCTGATCTTTTCACCATCATTGACTCTTATCATAGCTTTCCAGCTTGCATTCATGACCATCCAACACAAGACTCTTAGCAGCACAGCCTGGTTGCCCACCACATCCGGGGCGGTGACACTGGCAGCCGTATAGTTCTGCATTGTGCCCATTCCGGGAAAGGAAAGAAGTTGGCATCTTGGTGAACCCGTGGGGCCGTGCTATGGGTGGAGGCATGACTCCTCTCACTTCTGGTAGTGCCAAGGTGGCTTGAGGAACACGAGTGCCCCTTCAGGATGCCTACAGGCCCTGGCAGCCCAGGCTGGGAGGCTATAGCCTGGATGCTGCCTCTGGCCCTGAACTCTAGACATGACCAGAAAGAGGCTGGTAGTTGGGGGCAGAGGTCGGGCCAAGGCACCAGAGACAAGGGCTCCATGAAGTGCGGGCAAGCAAATTCTCCTGGGTTCTCTTGCTGCGGCAGGGATCAGGCCTGGCTTCCTGGGGAAGGAGCATCAGCTCTAAGGTGGGTGTGAAGGAGGCATATACCCCCAACCAGGAAGGACGTTTGTGGGTCTGGGGACAGTCCTGAGAGGGAAGAGCTGAGCTGCAGTCCCCTCCAGCCCCACCTTCCCCTCTGTCCCACCCGTCTGCCCTGCCCCCAGCCTCCCCTGCATTACCTGCTCGCCCTGCAGGGCCTGGTGGATGGTGAGACTCCGGTTGTTGTGCATAGTGAACAGGATGACTTTGCCTGTGTGGTTGAACCGGGGGGCTCCGGCCACATACACCCGCCCCTGCCTGGAGGACACGACCGATGTGACTGTGTACCCTGCCACGGGAGAAAACAGGCTGGTCTCTGGCCCTGTGGCCTGGCAGACCTCACCAGGGCCCTGTGTGTGGCTCAGCTGTGCCACAGGACTGGCCGCTGAACAGAGAGCATTCAGACCAGGCCAAGCATATGTGATACCACAGGGCAGTAGTTCCCAGGTGCAGCTGAGGAGGCCTGGAAGAGGCAGGGCCGGTGAAGGGTGGGGAGAACTTACTGCGCCCACCCCTTGCTTGAAGGCATCAAGGAAGCCAGGTGGGGCCCCTAATAGGCATTGCTGACCTGGAACATGCACATCACATGCTTCACCTGCCTCACAGGTGAGTGCATGATGGAACAGGGAGGAAAGAGAAAGGCAAACCCTAGCCCCATTTCTTTTTATATTGGGCGGGCTTTGTTTTTGATCCCCACCAATAGTCTCTCTGGAGATCAACCAGTGTCCTCTTCATTACCAGAACCCCCTGCTAAGTGGTCCACCGAAAACTGAAACGTTGGCTGTGCAGAGGCGAGGAACTGCTCCGCTCGGGGCATTTAGGTGGAGTCTCAGGGACTCCTGCAGCCCCAAAGCTTTGCAAACTCAAAAGAGGGAGTGACTAGGCTTCTTTCAGTGCACTCAAAAGAGAAAGAGATGGAAACCCAGAGGCTCTTTGGGAAAGGCCACCAATCCGTGTTCTTAGGATCTGTGCCTGATCACTGTGACTTTCCAGTCGAGCGCCCAGCTCTGGGGAGTGACTGTGCAGCATCTTCAGGCAACTCTCCTGAAAGTGGGGCCCCGGAACGTGTGCAAAGCCGAGAGTCTCACTTTCTGCCAGGCAATTGGATCATGGATCCCAGGTTTTAGATGGATGTCAGGCCTTGTTGGCAGTTCCTGGGCAGTTTCTGTGGGATGCATGTCTCCTTCTGCCATGTATGCATGTCTGTGTGTGTGTGTGTGTGTGTGTGTGTGTGTGTGTGTGTGTGTGCGCGCGCTCGCGCCCATGCACGTGCGTGCGCCTGTGTGTTTGTGGGTAACACTGTCTCTCGGGTCACTGGCTGCTTCCAGTCTGGCTATGGGATGCACAGAGGAGCCGATGCAGTGGCCGGGAGGGTGGGTGCAGTAGGATGGGCTACTCTGGTTCCAGACACACCGTGTTTGGCTCTTGGAAATGTATTCTGGGAATACATTTCCCAGAAGCTTGAAAGGTAGATGAGACCACGATATTCCATGGCGGGTGGCTAACGTGGCCGTGTATTGAGGGTAGGGCGGGGTTAGGCTTGTGGTGCGCAGCAAAGCTTTCTTCTGAGTTGAGCGCTCAGTGGCACTACTGAAAATGTTCTCAGCTGGCCCTGGGCATTTGGGCTCCCTCAGAAGGAGGGACAGTGGTGGTGGGAAGGTCTTGGGGGCTGAGTGTCCTGGGGGCAGGCGTGGGCTGACTCTCAAAGCTCCAAGCTGCGCTGAGAGAGAGCTTCCTGCTTCCCAGCCATCTGCTGGCAGTGGTTTCAGTTCCCATGTGACTCCTTGACCAGTAGGCGGGGACCCCCCGAAAGCTGGACAGCCTCCCTGAAGGGCTGACAGGAGGACCCGTGGCCAGAAGTCCATAAGCTTCCCCAGTGTGGAGGCGGAGAGCCTGGCCGGCCTGTCTCCTTCCCCAAACTCCCCCTCTCCCCTGGGGCACACTGGGAGGAATCTTCCAGAGACCCCAGACACTGCCCTCGCTGGACGAACCCCCAGAGGGAAGAGGAGGAAGAGAAAGGCACGCCCTCAGGACTCACACCCAAGGTGGTGACTATAGTTAAGGCGAGACAGTTGGGCCTCATGAAGGCCCTTCATCCTGGCTCTGCGCCCCCCAGGATCTTCCGGGAGGAGTGACCTTCCCACCGCAGAGAGATCCACTGCCAACTCTGGATGGCCGAAGTTCACGGAGAAGTGGAGTCCGAGGCTGCATTAGTGATGAGTAACTTCACAGCTGGTGAACTCCACTCAGAAACTCAGAAGGACTCACAGACAATGGGAGCCCTGGGCATTTGCCCGCCAGCCACCCTTCAGCTCTGGCTCTTACCCAGGTATGCGCCGTGGTTCTTGAGCTCCTCGGGGAACTCCTTCAGGTAGGACTCTCGGAGAGGAATGACCTTCCCACTGCTGGTTTCCTTTAGCACAGCTCCATTCCAGTCATAGGCACCAACGGCTCCCAGCAGAATCCCGTCCTGACATTGGGAAGGGGATGCACATCAGCTCGTGGCCCCCAGGTGCCCCTTGCCGGGAAGCTGCACCACGTCCGCAACCATGAAGCATCCATCTGCCCGTTCCCTCTGGCACCTTCTCCTGGGTTTGTTATTTAATAGCCCAACTTCCAGCCAGGATTCTTGGCTTTTGAAGGTGCCTAGGAGCTTTGAAGGAATGTTCTAGAAACAAACTCCAAATCCAGGACCAAAGCTCCATTCCATTTAGGGCTTCAGAACCCCTCTAGGAAATCTCTTGTCGCCATCCCTTCCTTCTGACACTCCTTTAAGTGGTGTCCCTATGCTTTTCCTCCTTCCCATTCCTTCGTAGTGTCTGAGTTGCTTTCCTGAGTGTGTAAATCCTACTTCTTAATTTCTTCAGTAAAAAGCCTCTGTGTGTCTATCTTGTGTCAGATACTTGCTTGGTGCTGGGGATACTGTCCCTGCCCTCACAGAGCTCACAGATACTAAATAAATATACGAATAAACATAATACTTGCAAACTGTGGTAAATGCCATACAATGAGGGATATGATAAATGTCACGGTGAGGTTGAATTTAGATTGAGAGGGGGCTCAGGAAAAGCGTTTTGAGCAAGTGATGTTTACCCGGACACCCGGAGGGATGGGATTTCTTTCTTTCTTTTTAGCGATATTTAAGTTAACTAAGGAAATGGAAAACTATTATGACTTAAGCCTTCATTCTGTGATTTGCGTGTTTGGACAAGTTTAGGCAGACAGCAAAAGCTCCAGAGGTCCTGCCACCAAACCTACAGCATTGTGCAAATGCCCTGAGGCTGGAGAGAGTTCAGAGCCTTTGGCTTAAGGAACTGAAAGCTGTTTGATGGGGCTGGAGCCTTGAGTAAGAGGGCAAGGTGGTTCAATATGAGGCTAGATAGATAAGCCAGGTCCACATTTGTGACAGCCAGCACCCCAAGGACAGGAGCTTGTCTTTAGTTGCAGGGTAAGCGGATGCTGCAATGCCTGGGCAGGAAGATGGAGAGCTCTGGCTCCTTGAGGGGAAGACTCCAGGGTCACTTCCGAGGACTGGGTCCACTCACTCCCTGGGTTGCCCTTGCACCCTATCCCCCCGGCCCCCAAACCATCCACATAACTAGTGGGTATAGGAAGACAAACAGCAAGCACTCAGAAGAGGAAGAGAAGTGACTAGGGACAATGAAGGGCTGAGGAGGGGGCGTGGAAGTAGGGAGGGGCTGCCTTCCTGGGTCGCCTTGGTGATCCTGTGCCAGAGGCATCCGGCTTTGCCTCCCAGCTTTGGGCTGTTAAAGCACAAGCTGGTGAGGTCACCTCTCTCCCACTGAGCCCTCCTTCAGCCCAGCTGGTCGGTGGGATTTGCGGTTTCCCCACCACTTGCGGTCCAAGGCACTCAATTTCTCCTTGCCCCCAAAGCAATGGTGCCAATAGAAACATGTGACTCTGGCCTTGGGACAATCAGAGCCATAACTAAACACACAGGCGGAATCCTCAGGCGCTAATTTCATTACTGGCAGTGGAGAGGGCAAGATTGTGAACCATAATAAGCTAAGCTTCCTTTTCTCATTTCCAAGGTGTCACTTTAAAGAATAACATTGATCATATATAAGGATTTAAAAAGTCCTAATATTCTAGAGGTAGAACTGACTGCTCAGACAGGATGTTTTTACAGCTATAAATAAGCTGCTCTTGGGTGAGTCCGATGTGCTGGGTTGTGTTTAAAGTCTCACTTTCTCATTAGCTTTCTCCCTCCCACTCTGTGTGCCTCAGCCTGGGAGAGTTTGACAATCTGCCGGGTCCAGGATCCGGGCCAGGGCCTCAGGGACTCGTGCCAACATTCCTTGCACGTGGGGTGTGCTCCATTCTTTGAGGGACCCTTTCTCATCCAGTCACTCATTTGTGAGAGACAAGTGGGACAGATATTCATTATCTGCACTAGACTAATGAGCACCCGAGGTTCAGAGAGGGAAAGGGAGTTGCCCGAGGTCACACAGCAAGTCAGAAGCAGGGCTGGGACGGGGCTGGTCAGAGGAGAAAATGACTATCTGCTTTGCCAGAAGCCCCTAGATTCTGCTTCTGATGCAACAGCAGACCAGTCTCTGCTTCACAGGGAGGCCTTTGAAGATGAATGTCTGGCTTTGTAGATGACCGGAAGCCTTTGCAATGTACTGAGAAGGGCTAGCTCAACCTGGGTGCCTGGGATTCAGCTGGGGAGACCTCATGCTGACTCACCACATGTGGGGCTGGGGAATTCCATCGGGATTTCTGCATTTGGCAGCACTGGGCAAGGGTGAGGGTCCCAGGCTCTCACCTTGTGCCATTCTACCCGGCAGTGGCTCTAGGCTTGCGCTTTAGTGGGAGGCCATTTCCCGAGCAGGGTCTCCTGGGGGCCCTGCTGTGCGTGGAGAGAGCGCACTGAGGAGTGGGCGGGCTGAGAGGGCAAGCCACGGCCACCAAGGCAAACCTCAGGTTGTCACAATCTTTTCCCAGTTGGGGGAGCCCAGACATTTTGAGTTGGGAAAAAATCTGGAAGGGTGGAGCTGAAAAAAGGACGAAAGCTTTGACAGAAGAAGACAGGCATGCAAGCCCAGCTGGAAAACAAACAGCAGGGCATCTGGGGAAGAGCCGTTTCCCATGCCCCGGGCCTGGCACCGGCTCCCTGACTTACGGCCTCCTTTCCTACGAGGCCTCTGGGGCCCCCACCAGATATTACCAGGGTGTACCTGGGGGGCCTTACACAGATGGACTCTTGGCACCAGCTGACTTTCCTGGTGCTCTGTGAAGAAATGAGGACACAAGCTTGGTGGCCCTCAGGAGGTCTAAGGCCAAGTCTGTGCCCTCCCTGAGGACGACCTGTACCTGTACTTGCCTGAGCCTGGCACTCACTATCAGATCCTACCAGCTCAGCTCTCAGCTGCCCTCTGACCAGCCCTGCAGCAGTGTTACCTTCCCAGCTGAGCTGAATGCTCCCTGGTATGTGGCCATATCTCCCCAAACTCCATGTTCCAGCTAGTCCCTGTCCCCAGCCAGGGTCGGGTCACATCCCCAGCACAGGAAGCAGCATATTCTAGAACAGCGCTTCCCAGCTGGGGGTGGTTTAGCCCCCCAGGCAGTATTTAGCGGTGCCTGCAAACAGCTCTGGTTTTCCCAGCTGGGGGTGGTGTTGAGGTTACTATGGCCTCTGGTAGGTAGAGGCCAGGGATGCTGCTGAGCACCTACGACACACAGGACAGCCCCACAGCAAAGAAGTAACCAGCCCAGGGGGTCAAGAGGTTGAGAATCCCTGGCCTGGGGGTTAGAGCATGATTTCTGGTGTCAGACGTTCCTGAGTTCCACTTCTAGCTCCAAAACTTCTAGCTGTGTGACCCTGGGAAAGTTCCTCACTCTCTCCTAGCCTAAGGGTCCTCAGCTGTAAATAGTTTTGTGGTGAGAGCTAGCATTTTGAATCCTTGGCAGGGCACCTGGCAGCCAATAAGGACTGGGTACATAGTAGTTCTTCTCATTCATTAATTCACCCATAAAGCACTTCCAGGGAGGCAGGAGTCAAAGAATCAGATCTCACAGTCAAGTTGGACCTACATATGAGCCAGTACAGCTGCCTGTAAGGAATGATCTGATAGAGGCAAGGACAACTTATTTTGAGGACCCACTGGAGGGGGTGACCAGCCGAGGGGGTGGGTGGGTGCATGGTGGAGTTAGGAAAGGATTTTAAGAAAACCTTACTTATTAGGAAGTCTCGAAATGCACACTTCCCATTCCAAGCCTCAAGATTCAATTCCACACATATTTTTCAGACATCTGCTCAAAGACTGAGGTTCACAGAGGTTAAATGATTTGTCTGAGGCCACACGGCCAGGCAGTGCTTTCCTCTGGCCTGGTAGTAACGGAATGAGAACACCAGATGCTAGTAGTTCTTGGCACTGGAGAGGCAGGACTGTGGAGGCAGGTGGAGGTGGCCCCTGGTGGTTCTGTTCACAGGGAGACCACCTAGAGGGCACCGAGGGCTGGCCTCCTTCCCCAGCCTCCCTTGCCTGCGTGTCCATCACCAGAGTGGCCATGGGGCGGGCAGGACTCTGTTCCCAAAAGCCCCTTCTAAGGCAAATGCATCATTAAGACGGTGGGTTATGCTTTAACTAGCTGCTCAGATTCTCTCAGTAAAAGATGTTTCCAACAAGCCTAAAGTGGAGCCTGAGGAAGGGATGAGTGCCCAGAGGCTTAGATGGGGTTGGGCAGGAAAGATTCAGAAACAGGCCTGCACCGTTTCTGTGGAGAGGGGGGTCCCGCACCATTCGCGGTGCTGGAGGACAGTGGTCAGGGCACGAGGAGGGGGCGTCGAGAAGCGGATGTGGGGAGCAAAGGGCACGCTGTTACTTGACTACTCATTCCAGATCAGAGGCTGGGTTATTTCTACTCAGAGGTCCTGGAACAAGGCTCAGGAGTGAGGTGCTGGGCACCAGGGCACAGCCTGAGGACATGGGGCTGGGCTTCGGAGGACCTCAATGAACCAGAAATGATTCCTGCCACCAGGAGTCAACTTGTAAACAATCCAGAACAGCATGGTGGCAGACTTTGGCTACCATGTCCTGGCCTCATATGGGGGCAGCCCTGGCTGCCTGCCCCAGAGCTGGCAGGGGCAAGAGTCCACCATCTAGGGCTAAGAGGACTCAGAAGGGCTTTACAGCCTTTAGGTGTCAACCCCTCATTTCACCATTATGGATGAGTTTCTTTTATTTTTGATTGAATCAGATATGCAAAGCGAATTCAAATGCAAAACTCTTAGGAAAGATGGCAACTTTAAGGCTTCAACAGCTGAGAACCTTACATAATAGCCAGTAACCTTAGCTCTCCCGTCCATAGCCCCAGGAGGGCTGCTGAAAAGGGCACAGGCTGAAGAGGCAGCGGGTGGCTGGGGCTGTTGGTCTGGGAATAAGACTCACCCCCAACCCGTCCCCTTGGCTTGTTTCAAATGTAACTGAGGCTGGGCCTGCCGGACCATCAGTGTCTAGTTTAAAGGAAAAATCATCTGTTCCCATCTTGGGTGAGGGGTCAAGTCTTTTGTGTAGACAAGACCCACCCTAATAAAACTGCTTCCTTCTGTAAAATTTTGGCATTGGGGAGATTTATGGAGTGCAGTGTAGGAGAGTCCATCACGGAAGGGGGCTCCCCTGCAGCTCCATCCATCACCACAGGCATCAATTATATATGGTCCTCTTCCTTCCTTCACACCTTGTGGCCCATAGGGATTACAGACTTAGAGGTATGGATCCCTTCTGCAAGCTTTCTGGCAGATTCATGCAGCTTTTTCTTGGTTACCCAGCTTGACAGGGAGTTCATCACCTCAGCAAGCAGCCAACACTAACAGAAGCCACTCCAGCTCTTAGCGACCTTTGCATTCATTTCCAAATGCTAATGGAACCATTGGCTTACAAATCCATTCTGAAATGTGGCCAGGGACCCATAGTTAATTTTCCTGATGGTAATTTCTGGAATATTCTCTTTCCCCTTTTTGCTAATCAGGACTAGAGTTTCCTGGGGCTTCAGGTCCCTGGGTTTTCCCAGCAGCTCTGAACTTTGGCCATCAGCCTGGAATGCAATGCCTGTGGCCTGGAGCTTTAGTGCATCCGGAGGCCAGGGAATGTTTTGGGACCTCCTCTCCTAACCTGGGCTCTGGTCCTTCCTTCCTCTTGTTGCTTTCACCCTTCCTAACTTGAGGGCTTCTTTCATTGCTAGGTAAGATGGCAGCAGACCAGGTTATCAGACCCTGGGCCTTTCCTCTGCCATTTGTGAACATTCTACTGGGTCCTTCCCCTGGGACTAGGGATCTTTCCTTCTGACAGAGCTCAACAGGCCCAGGGCAGCTGAAGACCTTTTCAGCACGTTTGTAGGAAACAGCTGCCTGAGGCTGTCTGTGGAGCATTTCCAGGGGAGATGGAGCCCAGGGGTTCACACAGGAGATGGACTCACTCGGGCTCAGGACCAGTTCCGGGCAAAGCTGAAAGGCCAGACCTTCCTGCCTCCAGTTCCCAGAGAGGTCCGACTGACCCTGAGAGCTGCGGGGTTGGACTCCGAGGGACGGGACAGCTGTGGCCAATTATTTTATTTTATTTTTATAATAAATTTATTTATTATTTTTGGCTGCATTGGGTCTTTGTTGCTGTGCACGGGCTTTCTCTAGTTGTGGCGAGCGGGGGCTACTTTTCATTGCGGTACACGGGCTTCTCATTGCGGTGGCTTCTCGTTGCGGAACACGGGCTCTAGGCGTGCGGGCTTCAGTAGTTGTGGCACGTGGGCTCAGCAGTTATGGCTCACGGGCTCTAGAGCACAGGCTCAGTAGTTGTGGCACATGGGCTTAGTTGCTCCACGACATGTGGGATCTTCCCGGACCAGGGCTCGAACCTGTGCCCCCTGCATTGGCAGGCGGATTGTTAACCACTGTGCCACCAGGGAAGCCCCCGTGGCCAATTATGATGGCACCAGCAGCCTGGAACTGAAAAACCTCTGTGCTCTAAAATAGCAACCCAATGGTCAGTCACAGCTCCAGACAGCCCACCATCATTGCACAATTCCTTTGGATTTGGAAGGATTTTATTCATTTAGAAAAATTTTTTAAAAAGTATAAAAGAGTCTCAGATTCAAATGTAATCACTGTCTCTTTCAAAGTCCTATCAGATAAAAACTTCCAGATGTCTGTCACTTGGAAACAAGACATGGGGTGATAGAAGAACTGGGGTCTGTATCTACAGGGTGGGGAGAGGCACCCTGGTTTCTCTGATTAGGAGAAGAGAACAAGAGTTGAGCACATGGAAGAAGCTGCACAGGGCAGCACATGACCTTGACCTCAATAACAAGCTGGGGCTCTGAGCTCCTGGTCTCTCCCCTGCAGTTGGGGAACTCATTGATCCTGCAAGGACTCAACTGGTTGACACACTCTGCTGCTTGGGCCACTGTCAGGGTTCAGCTGAACTCCCTCGAATCCTTGAAGCTTGTCTTAACCTCCCTTCTCTTTAGGTTCCCTGATTCCTGGGCACACACAGATCACAGTATTAGAAGCAGGAGACTGAACTTACCACTTAAGAGTCTTTCTCCCTGACTAGACTGTGAGCTGCTGTCAGCTGAAATGTTACCTTCGTCTCTCTCTATATTGGGTTGGCCAAAAAGTTTGTTCGGGTTTTTCCCTGTGATGTTACGGAAAAACCCAAACAACCTTTTTGGCCAACCCAATACATCCCCAGTGCCTCGCACAGAGCCGGGCACACGGGGAGATGCTCGAAAAATGACCTCGGAATGGAAGATGGAGACATGGGACATTCACTCTCTCTTGTTGTCCCCAACATCAGGGCTGCTCCGAGACCCGCTCCCCAACCCTGTCTGTGCTCAGACTTCCCCCAGGCCTGTGCACACAACTTCCTCTCTTCTCCTGCTTGCTGCCACCCATGGCTGCTGAAATCCTTGTCCTCAGGGGCCTGCCCGAGTGCCAGCCTCCCCCGATCCTTCCCTGACACCCCTCTCCCCTAGCCTGGGCCTTTCCTTCTGTAAGATCCCGATCACATGTTGCTTTAATTAGTGTTAGATGAGTCCAGGTGGTTCCCCATTGAGCAGGGGGTCTCCACAGGGGCTCCACGGATAGGGGGGGGCCTCCTGAAGTTGAATGCCTGTACCCAGGAGAAGTCTGTAGTTTCTGTTATCTTACTCACCAAGCTCGGGACTGCTGTTCTGCATTGTTTGCAAACTGACTCCTGTTTGGCAAGGATAATTTCTGCTTCCTTTTGATACCTTAGTTGCATTTGACAAATGCTTGTTGGATTTAATGAAACTGATTTTCCTTGCTGCATTTTCCAATCAGCCCTGACCCCAGAGTCGGGAGACCAGGGCTAGTCCAGCTGGAGCACAGGACTTGCCGCCTGACCTGTACGAATGGATGCCCTCGTCCCTCCTGGTACTCAGCCCCTTACCCTCAGACTGGGAGCTCCTTGAGGGCAGGGCTCTCACCTCTGAACCTCCTGGCATCCAGCACAGGGCCCAGCACAGAAAAGGCACTGAAAAGATTTGCTGATATAACCACCTAAAATGGGACAACTATTACCATCTGCCTACTTTGCAGGGCTGTTTCTGAGCATGAATGAGGCACAGAAATTTTCTTGAAAAATTAAAGTGCTCGGCACATATTACATGACTGTTATCAATATAGGGCAGTTATATTTATATTTTGCTGTATTCAAGCAGGCACGAGACAGTCCAGATGCAGCTCAGGAAACGCTGAGTGTGAGTCGCGTTTCCATCCATCTGCCTGCTGTCTGCTGTGCATCTGTCCCCCTCCCTCCGTTTTGGGATCTCTGACTGAGGCCCCCTTAGATTCCAAATGCTCTCACGGAGCAGCTGCTCGCTGTTGGGGAGAGAGCATGAGACTAATATTTTTCTCACTTCTGTCACTTCAGCAGGTCACTCGACCTTCCTGGGACTTGGCTTCTTTATCTGGAAACTGGGAACAAGGAATCTTGCCCCGTCCACCTCACAGAGGAGTTGGGAGAATTCGGTGGGTTACTGAAAGTGATATATAAGTGGGATGGAGTGATAGGCCTTTTCTGGCAAATTAGGAGGCACAAGTCCACTCCCATGGGGGCCAGCCTGGGCAGAGCATATGCACGCAAACCCAGGACACCTGTCTGTCCAAAGCATACCACGGGGGCATGTGCTGATACCGACAACCCAGGCTTTCCCTGCATGGTACTCCCAGGCGGGGCTATACCCCAAACAGCTTATAAAGCATGCAGCTATGGACTCCTCTGCCCCTCTGGCAATCCTATGAGGTTTCAGCCTCATCTTGAGAATCAGAACCAGGTGAAGCACATGCCCCAGACAGAACATGACACTTGTGACGCCATATGTCTGCTTGGGACCTCTGCAACACGATGCTGAGTCCGCAAAGAGAGAAGCCCACGTGGGCTGCCTTCCAGAGCACACCTGGCACATCTGGACACCCTCCCAACATCGATGCAGGGCCGTGCCCCTGCACACACAGGCCACCTGGGGCATGCAGGGCACTATTACAGCCCAGGCAAGTGGTTTTGCCATGTTGACCTAGTTTTTGCATGAAGTTCTATGGACTGAATGGGACCCTTGGTCCTGGGGGGGACACGTCCCCATGCACGGGGGGGCTTGAGACAGCTTATTATAAGTTGATGACCTTGACATTCCACAGAAGACGAGAGGCAGAGAGACCCCAAGAAAGAGAGAAAGGGGGATGAGAGACAGCCCAAGAACGGCGAGATGATGACCCAGAGAGCTGGGAAGAGTGAGAGGGCAGGAGGGCAGCTCTAAATCCGTCCTTACCTCCACTATGTGAGAGGAAAAGCCCGTCTGTGACATCTCCAGCCCGAAGGAGGTTTCATTCTTGTTGGTGCCTGAAACAGAGGGACAGAAAGATGTTAGCTCCGCACCTGATTTCTTAGCACCAGACATGCCTGCAGCTCAGTCCCCCGCACCTGTGACCCGGAAGCACTTGCAGGGAGGTGAGAGGGGGCCCCGGGCCTGAACCAGCTCATCTGCCCCAGCAGCAGGCACCTTCCAGGTGATCGTGTAGGTTTATTATTAGCAGCTCACTCCCTGCTGAAAAGGACTTGAAACGACTTATATTACAGGGCATGCATACTACAGGGATGTCAACGTAGGGGAAAGATCCAGAAAAGTGCACGGAAAGAAATAATCTGCATTGTTGGCAAGAAATGGAATTTCCCACTTTGTTCATTCCTACTGTTCACCAGATTTGGTTCCAGATGCTTCTGGATGGTTCCCAAATATCAAATTGACCCTTAGGAGGAAAACCTGTCACCACCACAGATTTGCACAGGAATCCCATGCATGCTGAAAGCTCCTCCCTGCACAGGGCCTCCTGATGTGTCATTGGAGCCAATGTTCTCGTCACGCAAGGCGACCACTTCGCGAATAAACTCACTGATTTGGACGTTTAATTCTAAGGTGAGGGTCAAACAGGTTCATACTTTCTATTCCTTTATCATGGGTTATGAGGGCTTTTCTTC